AATCTATTTTTATATCTCATTATAAAATTTTAAATTAGAAAAAATGGTTAAAATCAAGTAGATCTATACATATATGAAAATCTTGAAAATGGATAGTATAGATAATATATTGTAAAATGCACTATTTCTGAGACTTAAACTTTTTTTAGTTTTCAGTCATACATATCAATGTCGAGATAATCAATCAAAGGGTTTTTTAACATTAAAACTAAATTTTATGGATTTTTGAGGGGCATCCATAGTTCTACAGTATAAGGTAGCATCCTTATATAAACTTTTTCCTTTTAAATATTGGAATTTTTCATGGGTTTCTTGGATCGTACATTTATCAATTTTAGGCTTATCCGGTTGCTATATCTCAGTTTTTTTTTTTTTTGGATAATTTGGTGGGGATGACCGGCTATCACCCGTTTTTCTTTTTTTTTAATTAGTACTTTTTGAAACTGGAACAGAAGCGCCAACGTGCAACTGAGGTATAAGGTGTGCTACCATCACGACCTTAACCCTTTTTCAGCTCAGCTAATTTTATTGGCGAATGCATGTATTAGAATGACAAAAGTGTTATTCGTTAGCCATAATTCCAAGTAGTATTTATTGGGTATGTAAGTGTTCCCTGAACAATGTTTTATGAGACTTTTTGTTTTTGATGAATTAGTTCAATCCTTTTGCTAAGTTTTACAGCAGTGGAATGATTGGATTGATGCTTTTAATCTTTTTGTTTTTGATGAATTAGTTGAACACTTTTGCTAACTTTTTATTATAGTGGTATACTTTTTTCTTTTATTTGGGTAATTACCATGGTGGTATACTTGATTATTGCTTCAACGCAAAGAGGTGCGGATCTCATTTTAAACGTTCATACGTAATTTTACATTCTAATAAGGAAAGTATACAAACGGACCATTTACAAGGTACAATGTGGAATGAAACGATTATTTTTAGTACAAGAAGGTCATAATCATTTTTGTTCGAAAGATTTTAAATGGTGCGGTTGTAAGTATGTGATTAAATAAACTCAAAGTTTAAACAAAAATTTATTGTACTTCGTGATACACCCCAAGCCATCCAATTTGACATCTAATGTTTATGAATGATTGTAATATCTTTATAATAATGGTAAAGAGTAATATAATACACAATACGTAGTTTTAATACAAGGAGATCACAATTATTTTTGTTCTGTTAGATTTCAAATCGGACAATTTGACATCTAATGTTTATGAATGATTGTAATATCTCTATAACAATGGTAAAAGGTAATATAATACACAATTCCTAGTTTTAATACAAAGCGACTTCAAATCGGATGGTTGTGAAATATTATTGACAAGAGTCAAAGTTCAAAAGAAAAAATTTATAGAACTTTCTGACAGACCCCAAACCATCCAATTTGACATCTAGTGGCTTTTAGCAATTGCAACCTCCTGACAACAAAAACAAATGATCTCATAGTCCACAATCCCTTATAATTATGTTACGATCAAATTGGCTAACGCATGGTCTAGCGCAATTACTTTGATTTAACAGATAGATAAGGGACTTTTAGTTTGATATCAAAATAGAAAAAAATCCTGATGTTGTTTTGTTCCTGGTTGACTAGTTCAACTAACTAAACGAGTCAAACATTGATTTTATCCAGTTTTCAACCCAATCAGATTTTTTATTTGAACCAAACCAGCTAGATAGTTATCCTCAAAGTGGATCTAGTCTCGATAACACCGTAGAGAGTAATTTGACACACCCTTCTAAGAGTTTCTTACTAGTTTTCCCGTATTATTTGTCCATTTTGCCGACTTCATTCAATTTTCCACCAAACTAAGAAAGATACTGCTAGAGTAACCAAAGCTTAGTTAATCTTTCCAAAAAAACAAAAACAGAATCATAAAAAAGCAAAACGCTCATAGAAGGCACCGACCCTTATCCTATACAAGTAAGGCGAACTTAAAAAACCTACTGGTTCAACACAAAAATTCCTCTAATCGATCATCTTGACCTGTATGATGTATGAATATAAAATAGGTTTCAAAGTCCTAAAAATAGTAGACCTTCAACGCACTATTTACATTTTTACTTTAACAAAACAAGTGCTCTGACCATCGAACCTTAACAAAGTAAGATATTTATGTCAATCGACTCGAGCAACAAAATCTATCCCAAATTAACAAAATATCCTTGCATGTATGGGGCCAAATCCAAAACAAGGAAATCTGTTTGGATGAAATAGTTCATAATGATCCTATCAAAGTCACCACTCTGTTGATACTAAACCACTTATTTGATAAATTGCTCCTCATTGATTTTTGAGGTGATTTGACATTTTTTAATAATATTTTTCCTTTTCTCAGTAAGATACTATAATTACCAACCTCAAGGTCACAACAAAAAATGCCTCCCCAAAAACATTTTTCCCAAAAAAGATATGAGCGGAACAAGTAAGACCAATCACATGATAAATTACATATCAAAACGATGTTACAAGTCCAACCCCCAGCTCTTCTGCTAACTCATCCCATAAAGGAAGGAGAATGAGTACGATGAGGAATATTAACACAGCTAAAGCCGTTCTCCTCCATGTTCCAACTTCGGACACATCGTTTAAGCATGGTTTCTCGGGTGTCCTCTGCACAAGAATGACTTGTTGTTTACTTGGATTCCCACCCATTGTATCAAACGGGACTGGTGATCCGGATTGAGCAAACTTGTGAAAAATCAATTGAAAAAAATACTAAAAAATAAAACGCATGCATGCATTATAGGGACTAGGAATCATCAGCCAAATTGGGAATCATCAACCTGGATTGGGAATCACCAACCCATAGCAGATTCGGTGGATTGGCGATCCGGCTCCCCTCAAAACCCTTTGATACGATGTGTGTGTTTTTTTTATTTTACAACCCCATCACTAAAACGTACACATGCACAAAGTGTTTAAACATGGTCTTCTCAGCATCCGGAGTGAACTTATAAAATGAGGATAGATTAGTTTAAAGAGGTAAAAAGGGGGTTGAAACAGTAGCTAAAGCATCCACCAGGAAGACTTATTTTTAACAGTCATGAATGAGAGAGAGAGAGAGAGTGGATATTCATATAAAACCTCACCTGGCAAATGAGAATGTATAGTCCCCAAGGCAATGATAATGGTCCCCCAAGCTGGGAAAAAAATAGAAAGAGTAATGTGATTCACACCAATGTTCCTTTTTGGTATAAAGAAGTTATAATAATATTAAGGGACACCTATCAAACCATGCCCAAGTAATTCACTATTCGACACTTCACCTGCTTCTTTTTTTTTTTTTTTTGGAGAAGAAGGTTATTCAACACTTCACCTGTTGTCCTTTTCATAATTTCGGAATCTCAACCTAGTCCATGGCATAATACGTCATTTGAGGGGTAATTTACAATTTAGTGCCTTTTGGGCTGCTAATGGGTCGGGCCCAGGTCCTGGCCCAGCGGGTCCAAAACTTGGATTTTGACCCAACCGAGTTCAGGTCAGGGTTTAGAACCTAACAACAAAATTTAGAAAAAATATTCAAAAAAACATATTTCAAATACACACAAGTACACATATCATACATATATATGCAAATTTATTAAAATATTATATATCTCAAAAAGTATTATATATATCATGTGTCATATATTTTCTTATATATATATATATATATAGAAATGGAGACGGTTTCTATGCGGCCGGCCTGCATATTGTAGAAATGCGGGCTTGGCAATAAACATATTTTTTACATATAATTTGATCCTAATTTTTAGAGAATATATAATCATTAAGATGTAGATTATGAATATGAAAAGAACTTTTTTTTTTTGAAAACTATAAATAATGACATTAAAAAAACACTTGGACCGTTTGTCATACTTGTTTTTAGATGGACCACCTATTTGCATCCATCTTTAAGATGGATGTTGTATACCTCTGGACCGCATATTGTAGAAATGCGGTCCGGCCCTCATGAAACAATTTTCCTATAAATATATAAATATATATATGCATGCATGTATGTATAAATATATGTGTGTTTGTATATAGATGTGTTAGGGTTGGGTCCAGTCTGGGTTGACCTGGACCTGGACCTGACCCGACTAGGTTAGGGGTGGCAATGGATAGGGTAGGTTCCAAGTCAACCTCAACCTGGACCAGGACCCAACTCGGGTCCAAGGTTTTGGACTTGACCCACCAGGTCGAAACTTGGAAAAACATATATTCCAAATGCATACATACAGATCCCGGACCTGGAACCAGATCGGGTCGACCCAACGATCC